TTCACTAAGAAATCTCAAACATTTCGGATTAAACCATTAACGATTTGTATCGATCCAGAACGGTTTCCTGGCAAACGTTTTCAGCGTGTATTCAGATGAAGAATCATTTCAGGTTTCACAGCTCCTACTGAACTTTAAAAGGTTTGGTGGTTTAACAACGCTTTTAGAATATATACTATCGTTAAAAAAGATTTTTTCTTACCATGATAATTTTTTTCTTTAAAACTTATATTGATACGTTTAATACAACTCATTATTAATATATCTTTCAATTGTTCATCATGGACATACTCATTTTTTGGACATCAATTCTTGAATCATTTCATCAAGTCTCTACAAAAAAATGTTATTTAAACATTCAATTTAAAATCAAAAGTCATATACTTTTAATGCGCTCGAGGTGTCCTTTTTGTGTACATAAAATTCAACTATATCAGCTTTCGTTATGAAGTTATTCAGTGACATTTTCACAAATTATCAATTAAACAAACCATATGCTTCAATTGAATCTAATGGATATAATCAAGTGAAACAAATGATCGATGAATTGTATCAAAACCAAAATTGTCACAACAAGAACAAGAAATTGAATCAAGTCGATGATAAACCAAATAGATTTTTTTAAACAATTCAACTAATATATATATATATATATATATATATATAAGTTCAATCGAAAAAAGACAAAGGTGGAATTCAACAAAGGATAGACGTCGAAATAAACAAGAAACAATGAATGACATCATCATATTGTATGAAAATATCCTATTGGTCACACAGAAAAACAATTAGTATCTACGTAAATACGTACCCTCAGCCCGAACAATAACAAACAATACACTTTGTGAGGGTACCACATGTGTCGTCTCCTTTTCGAAAATTTTTTGGATGATAGTTTGAATTCATTAAGTGCTGTAGAAATTTTAGTAAGATCAAATTTTCGGACCCAAGTCGGGTCTACGAAATCATCATTGACCGGGCACTGAAAGCACATGAGTATGTTTGTAATAAAGCAGTAAAATATTCTATTATTAGTTGTAGTGTTCGCTTTTGTTCGTAGTATACAAAGAAAAATAACGTGCACTGACAATAGATCTATTTCTAAACATTGCCATGTTGTATTCTTTCATCAAGATAAATGCCTCAAAAATTATTCTTTGCAGAAAAAAGGTCGTCATGCTCGTTCGAAATACACAAAAATATGCACAAGTGAAAGAGAAGAAAAAATTCATGAAGGTTATTGGCGTAAGCATGATGAAGAATTACATCCCATGTAATAAAAAACGCATGAAAATTGGCGGTTAGCCGCAGTTTTATCTTGAAAGTGTATGGGTTTGAGTACGGTCTGGTTTTATTCCATAAAGCCACATTTGCATCTACACTCTAGGCAGGCAATACGACACCAATATCAGCAATTCACACAACCACTTTCACATCTGTAACGATTAATAAGACTCTTTTGAGTTTATATCGTATTGACAAACTGGATAGAGGTGGAGTAGCTTACAGCCACTCACGGCAATGATGTTTATTCGTTTATTCACATATCCAGAGTGTCATAACTTCATACATAACGCACGTATACCCACGGAGAAAATTTTTTCAAAAAACCGCGGTAATCACCGGTCACAAAAACCGCGGTTTCGGCCGGTATTTTCGGATAGCGAAAGTCAGACCATCTATGCGTATCTCTAACACCGCCCAGAACCGCGGTTTCAGAAACCGCGTTTTTCAGCGGTTTAGAGATACGCATAGATGGTCTGACTTTCGCGGTTTTGAAAACCGTCGCATACCGCGGTTCAGAAAACCGTTGTAAACCGCGGTTTCAGGCGGTATTTTTGAAACGCATAAATGGTCTAAATCCCGCGGTTTTGAAAACCGATAACAACCGTGGTTTCGAGCAACGCCGTTTTGGGTGTTTTTTTTAAATGCATAAATGGTCTGGCTACCGTTATATCCAAAAACCGCTTCAAACCGCGGTTTTTTTTCAATACACTAGACTCAATAGGAGCAGGTGTACCGAACATAACCTATACCTTGAAAGTTTCAGGTGTAGCGCCCTTCGAGGGGCAGTGTAGTGAACTCTCCCGAGCTCCATTTCCACAAAGTGTCTTTGTAGAGTTCTTATATTTTGTATGTGATATAAGTAAAATTTGCCAGAATTTGAGGGGCACGACATCTCGAATGTCCTTAAACATTCCTTGACACTTTGGTATGCACCGCGATTCCTCACATGCAAACCGCTGTTTTCAGAACCGCGGTTATTATCGAGTACACCGCGGTTTTAAATGGGATCAAAATAATACCGCGGTTTTCTCGGATCAAACCGCGGTTTTGTATAAATTTTTTTCCGTGGGTATATAGGAGAGAGATAGAAGAGAGACAGGAGAGAGATATATTATAATAATGGAAAGAGAATAGAAGGAAGAGGAAGGAGAATCATCGAAGCGTGCCATCGATATCGGCACAACATCAACATATACATTCGAGACACCCTCACCCATAACTCGAAATGATTCATAATGTTTAGCGTCCAATTTGTGTAAACAAAATATTTAAAATAGTTGACTAAATGTCGAAAGAAGAAACGTCGAAACGAAAAACGTGAAAAAATAGAACGTAGAGAGAGATTGCCGAAAAGAAAATCGGGTATGAGTGTGGGTATTCGTCTTTCATATATACCCACACCCTCAAAAATGCTGAGTTGACTGTTAAAATATTATCTTATCAAGATAATAATGGATCTCTTTGCTAGTGATTACTTGTAATCATGAATCTGGCAATTGTTTATGTATCTCAATAACAAATGAATGCGATGAAGACGAAAAATGTCTAGTACATTAGAAAACGATTATAACTATTTTCAGCAGACTTCCTTTAGTCAAACCATTTCGACAGCGGCGATAATCATCTGCATAAAGAATTGAAATGTTTCTCAATAGTTTCAACTATTGCAAGACATTCACTCATATCGAGTAATTGTTACCTGTGGCTATGCATTTCGATCCATACCTAGCCATTCGAATGGCTCGGAATGAATTTTTTCGCCCTTGCCCTCCCCTCATTCACACCCTGACTCAGAAACTATCAATGATTAATAGAGCAAAAAGATTTCGTAGTAAAGATCTATTATAATAACAGGTTATAATCATGCCTACCTTCAATATCAAAAGCTATGATTTGAAAAAGTTTCGAATTTTAGAAAGCCATAAGAAAATACCGAAGTCAGAAAAAATTTCAAATTCCAGAAACTGTTCCTATTTGTCGGAAACTTTCGCCATTTTGAGCGTGGACTAAAAACTTTTAAGATACTCTGCAAATGCTTCACAACAATCCCTGAAACTACATATATGTCAAACTTGAGACTTGAATTCGATTGAAAATTTCAATTTTCAACTTTCAACTTTTAAACCAATCGCATTCTGAAGAATCGTGACTCACACACATATTGCTATCAATCGAAAGTTGAAAATTGAAAATTTCAATTTTCAATTGAATTCAAGTTTCAAGTTTGACACTACTGGGAATTCGATAAGATATTCATTGAGGTTCATAAAATTTAAATCTACCAAGTAATCAACACTGAAAAAAAAGTAGCGAACGTTGATTCACGATCAGCTACACAAGGGTCCCTTGCTCGAGGGGTGACGGGGATGTAACACTCCCAATATTCGAAAAAATTGCCTTGCATTGTATTTCACAAAATGAAATTTACACTACCTTAAACACGATTTTATCAGTTACCCTCAGCGATGCCAGATGTTAAAGTCAAAAATCCGAAATTTAAATCTGAAGATTCTGAATAATCCAGAAAAATTCGAAAAATTGCAAAAACCTCCGAAAACATTGAGAAAAACCAATAAAAAACGAGAAAAAATTCCTGAAAAAATACGGATAAATTCCGAACAAATTTGAGAGAAAATGCGGAGAATCCTGAAAAAGTTTCGAAATCGGATGGATTAGCAACACTGGGTATTCTTGCTTAAAATTTTTGGGTGCTCACGACATCCTTGATCACAGCATCTTGAAGAAAAACGTTTTTAACAGCCCCCTCCCAAAGTTGGAATGGTCATGGCAGTCCTGCTGTTTCACCGCCTATGCAAGAAACCAAGAGAACAATAAAAGAATTAGATGTATATTTGTGAACTAATGATAAATGTTTCTTGTTAAAACAGAAAATAATGTATAACAAGTTCCCACGTGTAAATGTCTTTAACATATATCGGAAAGTGTTTAAATCATGTTAGCTGATCAGTATGTTACAAGCACTTGAGGCTTTACGCAAAAATAGTTGTAAATATTCAGTGGCAAATAAGAATATGTGGCAGCGTTGTTCACAAGACAAGTTTCATTGTTCTATCTTGCCCTGCAAATAAAGAAGAATTTTCATCTTGTATTTAAGTTGGCGCACTATAATTTTTACTGGCAAAGTAATACTCTTTCCATTTGTGCTGCTTTGATTGGAATTATATGTTATCGTATGACTAAAAATCGTATTTACTATTTGATAATGTCATCTGAATTCCTCATACCTCGTTCCACGTTTTTGAAAAAAATTGAAACACCATCATTCCCACACTAAAGTAAGAATATAAAACATTCTTAAGACACAAAGGTAACACCCTGTCCTATCCTGTCGACACTTCTGTGTTATAATTTGGAAGAAAAGAATTGTAGCATTCAAATTTATGTCATAATGTGTGATATGATTGTAAAGTCAACATTGAGACTTGCTAATGTGTCTATCATGTCTATGTAGGTAGATGAACAATTGGTTTACTTTAGCAATTCAACATTTATTTTCAATAATAGATTAATCATCGAATACAGGCTGTTTTGCTCTTTAATATTATGTAGAATAAGATAGCGATCTGCTATTTTAATGTGAAGCCTATCAACATGCATTCATTTTTTTTGTAATCAATGCTTGATCAACATGAAAATAACGGTAGTTTATTTCAATCTGGTTTAAAAAAAAACGTCATCTATCACAAAAAAAATCAAGTATCTTCTGTTTGCGCTGAAACAGATAGACGATCACGAATTTGATCAATACAACCGAATAAAATGGCCAAAAGAAGAGAACACCTTTGAAAACAAAATAATACACATATTTTCATAGATATAAAAAAAAAACTTACTCAACATGATCATGATTAATAAGATATTCTAATAATTCTTGATTTTGTTTCAGTTTAATCATCATCGTTATAAATTCTAATATTTGTTGTTCATGATTATCTTTGATTAGATGAAATGTTTTATCAACTAACGGTTGAATTTCATTCGAGTCATTTAATATCGCCATCCAAAAGAAAAGATTACTGGATGTTGCGATAGATCCTTCACATAATAAATTTAATAATTCAACATGTTCACCTGACCAATACAAAAAATGATAAATTAAATCATTTGTTGAACAAAATTCTGGAAAAATGAAATAAAAACAACAAATTTTAATGAGAAAAAGAAACATACGTTGTTGTTTTATTCTTCCGATTAAACTTTCTTTATCTGGCAACAATGATAAGTCTAAAAATATGAAGATAGTTTCAATAATTTAAAACTAAAAATGTTTTTACCGGAAATAACTTGTCGATCAGTTTCTGATGGCCATAATAAACGATATGCAAGCGAATTTACTGCAAGTAACAAGAAAGGCACGTGTAAATAAGTCATTTCAATTCTATAGAACTTACAATCGTTGATGATATTATTCGTTGATGAAAAAAGACGATCAGCTTGCTCAACATTCGCTTCAGTTGTTGTTATCTAGATATAAAAAAATACAAATATGAAAAGAAATTATTCTATTACCTTCGCTGCTCTTTTTTTCTCTCGTTCAGCTCGATTTGGCCTTGGCTTATTATGTCGTTTTTTGTTTTCACTATTACTACTTGTTTCTTCATCGTTTTCAATAATATTAGTCACAATCGGTTGATCTGGTGATTGTGTATGTTCTTCGATATTCCAAATGTGTAATGATTGATCACGAGAACCAGATAGAATTACATTTGTATCTCCGGATGAAAAAATAAGCGAAAGAATACTATCTGAATGTTCTACGTAAACTTTCAATGGTGAACAAGTTTCAACATTCCATAACTATTTATCAAAATCAACGAAAGAATTGAATGAATCAATAATTTACAAAACATACTCGAACAGTTTTATCTTGCGAACCTGATGCAAGAAGAAAATCGACTGATGAACTCCATGCTAAACATTCAATATCACCTCTATGGCCAATAAGATCATTAATAATGCATGAATTTGATTCTAAAGAAATAAGCAATTATCATTTACAGAAGGAAATTTTCTAATAAAATACCTAAACTATTAATCAATCGAATATTCTGTTTATCATTCACAGCAAGCCAATATTGTTTGGACGATATATCAACCGACGATAATAAATAGCGAGGATGATAATGAACAATAGTTGGCGAACAATTAATCAAATGATGATGAACCAATGTTAATGATGGACACGAACGAATTAATAAAGAACTAAAGAAAAATATCAACTATTAAGAAAGAAGTATTAGAAAAAGAACATTAATACCTATCAGAACAAATAGCAGACATAAATTTTTGATCATCACTAAAAGCTACTGTTACAATTGAACTAATATTCGACTAAAATATTCAAATTTGAAAATAAATATTTTGCACATGTATTTTTCAATACTTACCTCAGTTACTAATGATGTCAAATCAGTTGGTAAACAACTTTTATCCGGACTATCCCATCGGTGCAACTTTCCATCTCCAACTGAATAGAGAATTGCTAATGTTTGATCTACAGTAGAACTAGGTATTAAAGGACCCCAAAATAGAGCATTTGGCGATCCTGGTTGAGTATATCGCCAATCATAGACAACACGTGAACGGCCCGTAAGTGTATCATAAAGTGCGACGTGGCCCAAACGAGTCGAATAAGCAATACGACCTTCACGAATAGGATGCCAAGCTACACGACAAACATCAGCTGGAATCGATTGCCAAAGAAAAGACAGAGAAGGTGACCCATATGAAGATAGATCTAATATGCCAATATTTCCTGTATCAACACCTAACGCAATACAACCTAGAAGAAAAATCAGAATGTTCTAGACAGCAGTTCAAAGAAGAAGAAAAAAGAAAACGTACTTGTTTGTAGTGGACATGCTTGAATAGTATTAACAGAACCAGGTATTGATGCCAGAGACTGTGTTAATGTTAACGATGAAAGATCACAAATGCATAACTACAAAAAGAAAACGAAGATCGATCCATTTAAATCAAATAAAAAATAATCACGAATTTACTTTTCGATTAAATGCATAAGTAAATAAAGTTTTTTCATCTTTTATAACAACAGAAAAAACAGGTTTACCAGCTGATACTGGTGGTGTCACATTTAATTGAGCTTTTTCCATGTGTGATGAATGACGAATATCAATCTTGATTAAATGGCCACTAGAATAAATGGTAAAATATACTTTTCATCTTTAAAAAGAACAATATCTATTTAATTGTGCAATATCATTAAGATCAAAATATTTCGTATTAAAAGAAAATTAATGCGAAGAATATTTTGCATTTTTCAGTTAAAACTCTTAACCAAAGGTGGGACACTAGAGAAGTAGGGAAAACCCTGTCCGTTGACTGTGCCTTCAGATCTCTACTCAGGTCAGTCGAGTTCTTTTGCTTGCAACACAACTAGAACTCATGAAATATTCCGGTAGAAAAATTATTCTCTCGATGTCCTTACTCAATATTTCCTGTTAACAACGTATTCGCATCCATCCAAGCCAATGGATAATAAGTTTTGGATCGAGGATCATTTGCAGTCGCAGTTTTTGATTGTTTAACCATTAGCAACTGGCCGAGTGCTTTTCCATTTGTATAATCATATACTTTAATCGAACCGTGTCCATAACTTATATAAAAGAGAGTACTGCGATCTAAATCGAAGAATATCATAGTTTTTATCACTTTATAAATCAAACAAATGTTAAACCTAATGGAGATTCAGCATGAGCAAATTGAATAGAACAACATATTGCATTGACTGAATCAGGTGATAATTTGTGTAACAAATTTAAATGATTTTTATCAAGATCAACATGGCAAATACATATACAACCAGATTTGTATCTAGGATAGAAAAAGATCAAAGAGTCAGTTATCAGAAATCATTGCTAAATACGTTTCTTACGCAATAGCCATAATATATTTTTGTTTATTCGCAGTAGCAAAAAGTTGAACTTCATCATTTTGTTTATCAGATAAAAATTGATTAGAAAATTGATTTAATTTTCCTTCGTTTCTATTCCATCGATAGATATTACCATGTTCATCTCCAATGATTAATTCATCGTCTGACAACCAAATTAATGCATTTGGTCTCTAGAATAGAAATATATTTAACTGTTATAGTCGTTTCATTATACTTTTTTTTCGTAATGAACCTACCTCAAAAAGGAATTCAACTTACTCTTTGTAAATTTAATGTTGCTTGTTTTTGCACTGTTTTTCCTTCAACGGCCCATAGAAGAACTCTTGAGTTTGGAGCACCACCAGTGGCTAATAGGCCGGGAATAGTTGGATGAAATAACATACATGATAAAGATTTCGAATGAGGAGAAAATTTGGTTATGAATGATAAATTTTGACTTGAATATGTGTAAATATAAAGTAAGGTTGATGAAGTAGCTACTGCCAGTTGATCAGAACATAATGAAACACATATAGCTTGACGACAAAATGGATTTAAAGCACCAGGAAAACATGTTAACGCCATTTTACTATCTTCGAAAAAATGTAAAATTCAGAAAAGTATTTTATTTCAAGATGAAATTTGTTTGGCTACTTGCTGATTTTAAACCAATAATATTCACCTTCAGTATCTCAAATGCATTACTGTGCCATGTCAAGTTAACGTAAGTCATCGTCTGTCTAGAGATCTTTCGTTTGGTTTACCCAGTGTTTTTGCATTAACCACAAGATTTCATAAGAGAGTTGCAAAATGACATGAGTCAATTGGTTATCATGTGATTCAAACCGGAAAACGGCGGCGGTATACCGACAGTTCACCGTTCGGTATAATGTGCGCTCTACCGCCGGTTTTTCATGAAAGTGATGCATAGTTTTTGCATAGTATAGAAACGACTGAATATTTTTTAAATCTGTTAAAACCGGCAAAATCGTGTTGAATTCCGTGCATTCGCATGATGTCGATGTGCCTGAGCTACCTGTAGTAGCCACAAATCTCAAATCAGTCCCATTTATGAGATAAATATTTTATTAAAGATGTCGCTGTAAAAATAATAATTCGCAAAATGTATTTTCAAAAATAGTTTTGTTTTCGATTAATTCGAATTCGTTTTCCCAAATAAATAGGGATTTGACAAAAAACGGTTTCTGAAAACCTTTTTTAGCTGAGACCGGAGCTTACAAGCGCTATCGCCGGTAAACTGTCGGTACACCACCACCGGTTATTATGGGTACCGCGGTATACCAGTGATAGTGACAAAAAATGTGCGACATGGGATTTCTTTCTATATAATAAATACAAAAAGAGCAGGCTGTTTTAGTAATCGTTGGTTCCGGTGATCGATCATGTTCGAAAACAACGACTCGTAGTGCTAAACAATTCCCAAAACAGGGGAAATGCTCTGTTGAAACGATTCTTGGCAGGAGGGAAATGGTAGAACAATTACTAGAATACAATCGATATGAAAATGGAGCCTTACCAATGAAATAGTCTTTTATAGAGATAGTAAATATGAGATTATTTGTCTCCCATAAATTTCGAGACAATAAATTCTTTAGGAATCGGCAATGGACAATTTCGTAAAATTTATGATTGTGAAATATCAGCAGTTCGTCAAGCTTTTGATAGTGAGGGTTTTTTCGCTTTTTTTTATATAGAATTAAAAATTAGATTCTATTAGAAATGTATGGTGATCAAAATAAACATCCTTGTCTCACCTTTATTATTGTCCAGAAAGATCATAACACACGATTTTTCATCGAATATTCAAATAATCGAAATCGTTCAAGAAACGGAAGACCTCCTCCGAAGTATGTCAACATGTCAATCGGTGCTGTCATCGATACAACAATTGTTCATCCTAATAATACAAATTTTTATTTAAATTCACATAATGCTCATCAAAGTGTCAATCAACCATCGCATTATCATGTTCTTTTAAATGAAATTGAATTGACAACTGATGAATTGCAATTGTTAACATTTCATTTATATTTTGCCGATTCAAGATCATCAGCTGCTGAAGCTGTTCCATCGGTGGTTCATTAGGCTGATATTGCAGCATTTAATGCAAGAGATTTATTTTATAATAATGAGGCGTAAGATATGATGATAGAAATAATTCTTTAAAAATAAAATTTTATTTTTAAGTTCACCGACTACGAGTGTTGATAGACGCTATGGATTATTACAAAATCCTTCGCCTAACAATTGTACCTATGAAATTCTTTATGTTCATGATAATCTTAAAAAGCTTCCTGTACTTGGTTAATTTAAATCTTTAAAAATAATGAACATTTTCTTGCTGAAGGCTCATCCGTAAACACACACCATCATTTTCTCTTTTTCATTGATATTTTTTAATTAAGAATACTTCAATTTGTTTTTCTTGTTTCCATTTTTATTTTTTTTAATAATAAAAATATAGTTTGTAAACGATTCCTACCCATACCACAATTGTCAAAAATGAATTTTTTCTATTAACAACCTTTTCAAATTGAATTTTCGATCTTCGTAACCAAGAATATGAACAACAATACTTCTTCCTGTCATACATAACTTTAATCTTAACTCAATCGAAATTATTTATCATTTTTATATTCGTGTAATTCCTTTGAACTTTAATAAGAGTAACGCATAAATTGAGGCCACTAACTAGATGAATTTGTCTTAGGAGTATACGGCATTTAATAGTAACATCGAAATATTAAACTATTCTTCAGCTACCAATGTCGTTTAGTTTTTCTTTAAAATTAAATAAGTTGCGTATGTACTAATATTACCGTCATACGATTCAAGTTTTAGTTTTTCTTCGAATAAGGACCAGAATTGTGTTGATATATGTTCGATTTCTTGATTTGTTCGTTGATTTAATTTTAATGCTTCTTTCAATGCTGAATCAGTACCTGGTCTCATGAGCATTGCAAGAGATTTTGCAAAATAATCTAATTCAATTTCTCCATTTTGAAATTGATCAAAAATAAGCAACTTTAAACAAATAAATTCGACTTTAATTAATTTTAATAAATATCGATTAAATAATTCGAAATCAAGACATTCCGATAATGAACGTAAATAGAAAGGAATTGTAAAATCTACTAATTCTTGTGATGTGAGAATTTTTAATGATTTAGCAGATTTATAAATTAGATCAAAATAAAAATTAAATCCCATTTCTTTGTTTTCCTTAATACTTGGAATGTTAAGAATAAGAATTCCACCAGATTGCAGTTCTTGAGAACGATATTTAAGAAATCGAGCAAAATCTGATTTTGATTGAGCTTGTAAGAGTTCACGTTCTTTTTCATTAGCAAAATGAAAATAACAATGATTATCTATATTGCAAGGTTTCTTTGATAGAATATGAAGTGATGCAGACGAAAACCCAATTGATAGGCAATTCAGCGGGAGACATTGTTCATAAAAAGAACACCCATTAGCTAGACCTTTATAAAAATTATCTTCAGCGAGTAATTGAAAAAGCCTTGTCCAATCATTAGTTGGAAGATCATTGTGAATGATTAATGGGCTTGTTCGAAGTTTATTCGTTTGTTTAAGATATTCAATAATCATTTTCATCGTTTGAATGGAATTTCTTCCATGCGAGGAACCGAAATCAGCAATAATTAAAGTTGTTGAATTATTTATACTCAATGCATCGATGCCGAAATATATAAAAGATCTTCTAGGATCATCTGACTCAGTCGGAATTGTGCACCTTACTTGATTTTGTCGTGAGCGACAGCAAAATAAAACTGAAAATAATCGTTGAATATCTTAAAAATAAGCTAATGAGAATAAATGATAAATAAAGCAAAATATTTCATACCGTTCATGAACTGATTAGTAAATTCATATGTGGAGAAAAAAACAGACATAAACGATTGAATTGGTTGAAATAGATTGTATCTGTTTGTAAGACAAATGCCAGAGTTTAACAAATAAGATTTTATTATAATGGAGAAAACCAAATAATAAATGTTACGCGTTGATCTGTGTAGGTTATAACAGTATTTTAAGTTAAACTTATTTCATTCCGGAAATTGTTAAAGACTAATTACTTTTCTGCATGAAAGAATATACGAATCATTTCTAATTTATGCCATAATATAAGAACGATAGAAGTAGAATGTGTTGCACTTTGACTGGTCGGTTCCTTGAAAAAAAAGTCATTTATTATGACTAGATCCCGGAAAATAATGTATGCAAGCTGATGCAAATGCGGTATGTCGACAATAAAAAAACGACAAGTGCATTCAATAGATAATTGAATGATAAAAGAAATTGTTACTGCTGACGAACCGTAAGTATTGTCTCTATGGAGTTTTTGTGTTCTTCTCCGAACTTCAGATGACGACAAAGATATTTTTCCACTTGAAAAATAGTTAGTATGTCTAGAAGGCGTTTTCTTTTTAATTGGATTTCATTCCTTCGCTCGTATCAACTGTAGTATAAGATTTATAATTTCGATAAAAAATAGTAAACGAACGTTACCTAGATGAATAAAGATTCTCTTTCGAAGATAAATGCTCAAAATAATAAAAAATAGAACATAAAATGTCAAGAAAGTTCTCACGCTGAGGTTACAATAAAATAGATAAACAGAATTCAACTTCTAGAATTAAAGCCTTCTGTTTCTTTTTCTGATCTCGTAAAAATGCCTACTGAAGGAATGCAACTGAACGATTGTAAAATAAGTAAAAAAGAGTTGAAAGTTTAGCATGCTGTGCACGGCACTCTATTGAAAATTATAGATGTAAAAATAATGGAACCAATTATTCGTGTTCCTTTTGATATCCGTAGTTTATTTTTAATGGAATATCTTTGAGAATGTGCTGACTGTATTTTATGCTTATCAGAGCTTTATGCTCGGCCATGTGGATTACCTGATCCTGATATAGAAAGTAGTGTGTAATAGAATTCTATAGAATATAAACAATACCGTATTTGGCTCTTTTGAAATTTTATCCAATAGGATTCATTCGAAAGAAAGATTTAAATTAATACTTCGACTCGAGTTCATTCTTGAAACAGAAAAAAAGAAATTAATTACTTTGATGATGTCATGTTTTTCGAATTAGGAAACAGTTCGTATAAATTTCCTCGAAATCATCATCGAACACTTGTTTTTATTACAATTCTATTTTTTTTTATAGACCAAAACATGGTACTATCGAATTATACCTACGACTTGAAGAAAATAATTGGATTAGTATTAATAGTGCATGAACCATAATGTGTAAAAATTGAATACTTTACTAATTTTTGTTTATATTAAAAAACATAAGGCGTCCGTTTGTTTTCTCATACAAGGTTACAATAGAGAAAATGCTTAGTCTCAATTTAAAAGTATGATTCACATTCATATTTTTTTTAACAGAAAAGACAATCAAGAAATTTTATTTTTTCTTGATTAAAATCTTCTAGTTCTTTTTATTCTCTTTTCTTTAAGTTAAACGACATATCACATTCAATTGTTAAAACACTAGGTTAACTGTAATGGTCGATCCAGTCGCGACCAACTAAGTGGTTCAGCTTTTTTAAGAATTATTTCTATTTTACTCTGTAATAATTCGACTGTTGATTGAGCAACATCGACTAATCCGAATAGTTCCCATTCATTTAGAAAACGTTTTTTTTGCATATCTGTACCAAATCGTGTATCAACTTTTAATCGGCCAGCATTTAATTCGACTTGTGTTTGATCGGGACGTGGCATTTTAGCATAAATGCTAAGAACAACAGTGGAACCTTGCTGATGAAAATCAAAGCGACATGATGATTTGAGAACTTGCGGATCATCTTCATTCTTTGACGATTGATCTTCAACACGCCATAAATGTTCACCTTCAGTACAACCTGGCTGAGCAGTAAAAGCTTCGAAATCAGTTGTTTTCTTTTGGCAACATGACCAATATTTCATACCTAGAGCGAAAACAATAAACAAACATGATTTTCGTTTTCCTAATTAGAAAAAACAAATTTTACCCTCATGAAAAATCGGTACACCTGGATGAAATCTACATGATGTTATTTGTTCTTGATCAGCTGTAGTATATAGAGCTGCACATGTTGCATGTTTACATGCAGTACCCGGCTTAATAACATTAGTATTTTGCTCTTTTTGATTGCCGTCAGCTGTTGGAGTATTAACTTGTTTTTCAAGTGCTGCTTTTAAACTTGCTGCTACTGTTAATTTCATCTGAGTTAATGGAGCATCCATCGGTGGTCGGTCAACAGTAGGTACTATTGGTTTTGGTATTTCTTGGCGAATAACTAGCTTCGGTACAGCTACTTGTTCTTGTTCAGCGGGTTGTGGAGCGATTGGCTCTTCAGGTTTATTTGGTTGATGAGAACCACGTGTACAACCTGGCATTGACAGAAATGCACTAAAATCATGAGATTTCTTTTGACAGCATGACCAGATTTTATAAGCATCATGAAAATAGGGTAAACCAGGATGATATTGACAAGCATTATCATCTTTTGCTGCATCATTTGTTGGCGTATATCTTTTTTGACAACCACGATTGTAGCAAAAATGAGACATGGTTTTTATCTGAAAATAAGAGAAGAAACTATGATTGCGTCGAAGCTGTTACTGTTAGTTTTACTTTATAAGACTCTTTATTGAATATACAAAGAGAACAATAAATGAATGAATCACTATGTAACTGTATTGGAAGAAACATGTAGACAAAGAATATGGAGACCCGATAGTAACATAAGATGTCACTATTGTCTAGAAATGAATTATTTCAAAAATTGCAAAATTGAAGAAAATACTTTTGTACGTGAACATTATTAAATCAAACGCATCGATAATTTGTTTTATTTTGTCATGACAATTTTAGCTACGTGAAATTTTGAGAAGAAAAAAACTCGTCTATAATATAAACGTCATTTGAATTATTATGTTGAATGAATCTATACGTATTTCTTTGATTGTCAAAATTTATAAAATAAAAAAAATTCAATGACTTGATTAAATATTTTCTCATATGCAGCAAAAAAGCTGCAGTTTGTTATATAATTTGTAGCACGGATACAACTATAGATACATTCAAAAGCGTCTGAATATCGTAGAGTTTCACAAGGTTTCCTATTTGGTTCTTTACATGATGGTTGGCCTATTTGAAGTAGCGCACAATTGACTGCCATTTCATCTGGACCACATTTTGATGGATGTTCATTTGTAGCTAACAACAGAGATAACAGAAGAAAACAATAGTATATATCTATTTCAAATCATGCAATGTTTTTGCTTTTATTGTATTGCATCTGTTCAATGCAGTGTCAATTATCATGATGATTTCGCACAAAATCTAATGAACATACACCTCCATTTGATTTATTACACGAGAGTTGATGTGCAATATTAATTGCACATTCAGTTGATTCTTTGTTTGGACCACAATTTTTTGTAACAGCTGTTGAGAAAAGAATATATATTTATCTATTATGTTTAAAAAAAGGAAGTTGCTAACACCGAAGAGGGTCCATTGTAAAAAAAAACATAAACGTAATAAGACTAAACATAGTCGACAATCAATTCATCATGGAAAATATCATCATGTATTTGTTTCATCATTTCTTTTTTAAATGTATAAATATAAACTACGTTTATATAATATAATTCAAAGCAGTAGTGTCAAACTTGAAACTTGAATTCAGTTGAAAATAGAAAATTTCAACTTTCAACTCATAGCGATATATGTATGAGTCACGATTATTCAGAATGCTATTGGTTTAAAAGTTGAACATTGAAAATTTCAATTTTCAATTGATTTCAAGTGTTGTCATGCAAAAAGGAGTAGGATGAGAATATAATGTATTTGCGTCGTTCGACATATGCAGTTCTCTACGCAAAAGAACTGAAATATTCAATATCAATTAGCAAATTTTGCATGCATAGACAACAATAGAATATAATAGCATTTTTTTTTAAATTCAATGCTTGTTTCTTTTCAATGCTGGCTGTTGAAAAATTCAGATTTCATGAAATTTTCAACAACAATTGATTTTTCCAATTTAATTTAGTGAAATCTTTATACGGGAAAAACATTTCTGCAAAATGATATCTGTGATTCTGATTTACTCATAACTATGTAGACATGAGTATGATTATGACCATGATCGTATAAAGGAGAATTTCTTCAGATAGCTAAGGATTACAAATAAAAATATTTGTTCGACAAAGAATATTCGTATAAACGCATGATGATAATTGGTTGAGTTAAACATCGTGAAATCAAAAACAAACATTGATCATCTATGAGATGCAGATAAACAATATATTTATTTCTTAAAAAATTCAATTTAATTGTCTTAGAAAAATCATTTGGTTGTTTTTCTTTTTATAATAAAGAAAACAAAATTCGTCTTAGTTCCAGTGCATGATAGTTTTCATTTAGAATTATGCATAGTTAAATTTTTACAAACTGAATCGATAAATCCCGGCCCAGGTAATGGAAAACAAACTTCTGGATAACGTTGACAACAGAAAGCATCACATTTATTATCTATATCACAAGACTTCACATTGAAAGGATGTTGCTTTACAGGCGAACAGTCTGCCCCACGACAGCAGATACAAGTACAACGACCGGAACTATTTACATGTTGAAGCATCAACAGGAAGATCAACAGCATAACGATGAACTGTCGCATTATTAACTTGCGAGTTATATAATAAACCTGAAATATAAAAGAAATCTTACAGCTGTTTGTATGTTTGCATTTACCTTTTGTAGAGCTTCAAAGAAAATGATGCACATATGTGAGTATTTACGTTGTGATAAAAAGTGCATATCTCTATGTTATTAGATAGACTATAACCAACCTTTTGTAAATATTGATTGAGTATTTCAACGTTTCATCTATGATGTGTAAGATGTAGAACTAATAAAAATGATGGGAATACGCTCTTTCAAAAAACTATTAATCGAAGTCACTGTATTTCATTGAAGTCATCATAAGAGAAGAGAATTCCTCTAGTAACAAATATTATAATGTCTTCTAGATATTCTTCAGCACTGCAAATTATTTTTGTTTTAACAATATCATTCATAATGGTCTTTGACTAATGCATGAAGAATTATACTTATTTATTGTGATATAGTATCACATGTACTATAATACAACAAAAGCAATGAAAATAACAAATGATCTGTTCTCATAATATTATAATTGTCAGCAGTTTTACTTTTACTCGATCTCATCGAAATTGACAGTTGTATAGGAATGGCATGAATCCCAATGGAGAGGTCAACAACTAATTAGAATGAGACATTGTTTCAAATTTTTATGGTTTTAGTTTTCTATTTGAATTTTGCACATTTGATGAAAAGTCATGCAGGAAAAAATTCTTTCTCTTTGAAAACTACACTCAATTTTTAGAAAAATTCATTTGAACAAAAACAAAACAAGATCAAATAGAAATACTTGAATAGATACAGTATGAATTATATTTTTATTGAATGCATAGGACACTTTATATGACTATCAAACGAAGTTCGTTCATTTCTATTAGTATGCTAGAAATCTTTTAAACGCTCTGGAAAAAACTCACGACCTTACCATTTGTTGTTTACTCAAATCTTCGAGTGTAAACATCATATTAAAATTCAGTCGAACTTATACTGCAAAGCGCGAAACATATGAGAACTGCGGCATTCTATAATCGATTTCTGTTGAACTATTCACAACTTGTGAATTAATATTGTATGAAAGTCAGTTTTTCATGATGTTCCATGGCGAATCCTAGTAGCTAAAGTTTATGTTTCAAAGGATTCGTTAAATTGTTCCAGACTGTAGTTCTTAACATTCAAACGAAAGAGTAGACGCCTATGTTTTCATGTAATTGGGCAGAACTGAGATCTCTTAGAAGAAATGAAGAATCTTTTGATTCACAACACCGTATTTATTTTTTATGTTAGGAAATAATATTGATACATCGGATTTGTTCACGAAGAATTCAAAAAGGTCTAGGTGAATGCAAATCAGCTTGACTGATTGCAACAGTTGGTGATGCATTATGCCATGTTCTACTAATTCGTTGAGAAGTGGCATATGACATGTGCGCTACTTCACCTCTCAGATGACCCCATTCAAGTATACATATCAGTTGTCGATGGCGTGGTGGAACACAATCAATAGTACCATTAGTGTGACGGGAATGATAAATATTGTCAGCATTAGTCATAATCATATTAAATGTAAGATATTCATACATGCATTGATTTTCGACCACGATCAGATTAGCAGCAAAACGACGTGGCGTAGTATAAACAACTGAGGAGTTACTCTAAGTGATAGGGAAGAAATAGGTATAAGTCAATGACAACGTTCGATATACAAACTATAAGTGGCTTATTACAATATTTGAGTGTTGCAGCAATGAGACAATCAGCCAGAAATGTCGGTGGTTCGTGGAGAAATCCACCATCGACCGGAATACTCGAATGAATGACTAATGTATAATTTCTTGTTCTTTCGTCTTTTTTGCTATTTCTCGTTTTCCAAAGACTGACTGAGAATGGAATAATAACATAGGCACCTGGTCGTAGCGATCCATTCCAATAGGTCAATGTCCCACGATGACTCTCTAAAATCACTTCCTTTGTACCAACATCGCTTGTTTCTTCTTCTACATTACAGAGGACAAACGATTGAGTGTGTTGACTATTTCCTTTCCGATGATGCCGATGATAGATGAGGCTCACAGTGATCAGTGATGTCCTACACAAAAGCTAGAATTGATAATTTCAAATATAACATAGCTGTATAATTACTTTGATAAAGTAAAATAATAAGCAGGCAATAATTCTGTTGGTGATTCAGTAAATTGAGCTTGTTCACGAATATCAAAATGATTACTCACATAGGTTGATATTGTTATGCTTTCGAAAAAACGTAAGAAACTTGACCACGTTATCCAGAAAATTCCAGAGAAATTCGGCATTTCAACACGAATCGAACTTAAATGTTTACGAATCTTCGGAGTAATCGAATCTTCGGAGAAATTCGTAGTTCCATGTGGATCACGCAGAAGTAGAAAACGACCCTCACCAACATCCAATGACTTCGCTAATAAGACAGTAAATGCATGATTAGAATTCAATCCAACGAGTGCATACTCGTGTTCATTGATATCTGAACAACCGGTTGATGCACCAATTAATAGCCTATAGATCGGAAATGTTATTTTAGCGTAGAATTTATGGTACCTATCTGAATACGAAGAGTCTATGAGTTTTGCATTTTACACTTGAGAGAGTAGATGTATATTTCAATGGTATAGAAAAGGTCGAAACAAAAAATGTCGAAACGAAAAGCGTCGAAATAGAAAATGTTGAAATAAAAAATAACGAAATAAAAAAGATCGAAAAGAAATGGTCGAACTAAAAAATGTCGAAAAAAAAACTAACCGAAAGATAAAAATATCGAAAAAAAATGTCGAACTTACAAAAATATCGAAAAACTCGAGAATGATTTAAGTAAACAATTTAACATTGAATTGTATCCTACTGACAGGTAGAGTTATTTTATGATATTTTTCTGATTGTCCATTGTACACTCTAAAAAAAGTTCTTCACTCGGGCAGGCGGGCAGAATTGTTTAAGGTTCTGTGCAAAACCTTAAAAGGCTTATCACTAAACCTCAAGGATTGGTATTTTCATGAGAAGCCTTTTTAAGTTCCGTCGATTGGTACGAAATTTTTTTAGAATTTTTTCAAAACCTTCAAAAAGATTCTTCTCCTCTGCCGAGGAAAGAACCTTTTTAGGTTTCGTATTATTTGCTAAACCTTTTTAAGTTCGGTATAGAACTTATCTTTTTTTTAGAGTATGACACGATGATCTAGAGCGTTCATATGTTGGCATTGCCGTTAAGAGTATCCACATCCTCACACGTACCCTCACGGCTCACCCGCACAGTCGCCCTCATCCTCACTCATACGCACATCCATACCCACACTCTCGCTCTCGTATTCACTCACACTCATATAGGTCTGATTTTAAACGAGTTCTATTTTTAAAGCATCAATAAAGTTATTTATATTTGAATAATCCAAGCTATCTTATTTTAACATTTTCGGCATTTTTTTTTCGACGTTTTTATCATTCGACGTTTTTTTTTCGATCTTCTTAGCATTTGATCTTTTCAGCGTTCGGCGTTTTTTTTCTGCCTTTTTACTATTCGACATTTTTTTTTCGACATTTTTAGTTTCGACCTTTTCTATACATACCGTATATTTTATCAACACCATGATTCTTTTCTAACAATATGAATATTTGATGTGAAACTCATTGATCTACTTTCAAGAGACTAATCAACATTCAGTAGTTTGTAGCGGATTCATAAATATTCGCTATCGATGGTGTATCATATGTTCACTCTTCTTCTCAGTGAAGTTTGATCAACGAAACGTAGAAACTAAAAATACTATTTTGTGAACTTACTTTGATTCGCAAGCCGATAGTAGCTTGGCCCAAACAATATCAAAATCGACCACATCATCGATTGGATGCAGACTAATTCGATCAGTAGGTGCTCCGGTTAATAGCTGAAGGCCTTCAGCTGTAGACCCTCCTGATAAATTTGCATAAGAGCCAAATATTTTTGCACATGCTTTTTCAATTAATGGAACATATAGTTGGCGGCGCGCAGCTCGACTGTAAGCTAATGTGTTGTATTGCGTACATGGAAAATATTGATCAAGAAGCACAGCTTTCCAAATACCATGATGACATATTCGTACAACATATACTCCTTCTGGATTTACTGTTTTTGTTAGAAGAATATGTTGAAGCATGTCGGGCCGTTCAGTAATCAACGCCAATGCAGCTAGCAACCAACAATCACCGAGTTCACCTTGATGAATATCGCTTGGTTCTGGCGAATTATAGATTGTCCAAGGCCCATTATCGTCAAGATCTGTTGATGGCGCTATTTTCGCTAGTGGTAACCATTGCATCTCGCGTTTCATTCCCAAAGCACCCAACGATTGATCCGAAGGTAAAAATCCATCGTCCACAAACGGCATTTTGTTCTGCAATTATTCATATAACTAAAGCTATATATCGATCTTGCTTCCTACGTACTTTCTTGCAGAAAGCGATCACATCTCGACTTAGTTTTTCTGCAGTCGACGCATCCATGGTACGACGATCGCGAACAGCAACTGACTTGGGTCTCATTGAAGACAGTCTACTTGTTTTGGCTGAGTGAAGTTCTCGTTCGTTCTATAAAATTGATTTCATTGCTCTGTCTATGCGAATTTGACTTTTTTTTTCGAAAAATGATGTTTACCTGTGCTATTTGATTTCTATTACAATTAGTGCAATATGGAAGATCAGCGTGATTGTTGAAAGAGCAAAGATCACATTGCCAGGATTTTGTCGATGGAACTTTTGACTGAGAATCGACAAAATTCAAATAATTCTCACCACACTCCATACATATAGGATAAGCAGAGTTAGGACTATCAGCTGAGCATGCTGGGCAATTCCATTTTGTGTCAACTTCAGGAGATATTTTATGCGACGGATATTGAGACACAGTTGTACCCATGATCAGACCTAAATACTATGATATAGCTTTTTCTTTTTAAAACGAGAATATCATGGTTTGAACTAATGAATAAATTTATTTATTTGAATCCATTTTTGAAATACATAACAACGTGCTTCAATGAAAGAAATAACACTATATACATATCAAAAGAAGTCCACGTGACAACAATATACACGAAAGTCAATAATTTTAATATTGAGATGAAGCTTTTAGACGAGTGTTTTTTACACGTAGCTTATTCTGAAGTCTCATAAATCAGTATGGAAAGTATTACATAATAGCAGCGAAAACGGATGGCATGTTTTCTTAGCGATCGTGATATAATCGTTCTTCGAATCAAGTTCTATTTCAAAAGCATCAGTTTCAAACCTACAGTATTCTACACTATGGTTCAGAAAGTCGAATTTCCGTTTTGAGGCATTTACAAAAGTTACTTACCGAATTTTTACTTTTTTTTGACTGACAGTTTCAGATGTTTCATACGACTGTATTGAGGAAGTATTTTGTTGTGCTTGTTTCAGTTGCGCAAATAATAATCATGTTTTCGTTGCAGAGAGGAAAAAGAGAAATGCATGCACCGGTTGTACGATGGCATAGAAAGGAAAAAAGTCAACAAAAAAAATGTATCCGATGCATTACAAAGTTTTTTTTCTTTTTTCTTTGTGTGCTTACAGGACAGATGTTTGATGATATTTTAGAATTAATGATAAAATGAAATAGTTCGTTTTACTTGCTTTTAGAAATCAGTGTTTCCGAAATAACGGTGATTACGACTTCAATAATAAACTTTCTATACTTTTTTTTCAATGGTCTACAAAACTCTTTGAATAGTCGCTCATCACCGTCTTATGCATATCACGAAAGCTCGGATGTTGTCAAATAAAATAGGCTTGCCAGAGTAGGCTAATTCGAGTTTATTAATATGATAATAGTTGTTACTCTATGAACAATTTTCTTTAGACGAACACGTTAAAGCGCCTCATGCATTCATCGAGAACAATGATTGATGTTTTCTTACAATAACATCTGAGAGAACTTAAAATTTTCAATAGTGACTGACTAGATTCTATTTGAATTGAATAATATTCAGCTATTTGTTATATGAGATGTATGACTTTCCTGGAGTTATTTAACTAGACACATTCTATGTCTATTGTTCTGTCCAAAGTCTTTACGTGCTATAGATGAGACTGAATGGTATCCTTTTCATGCGTAGCAAAACACTCTAAATCTATTGTATATCCTCGATTTTATTCGAAGTATGCCTAGACTTATAAGAACGTATTTCTTGCTCATGAATTGGAAACTAAATCAAAGCAAAAGTATTCTAACGAAGAACCCATTGAGTCATCCTTTTGCACGTCTTGTCTGTATCAGTCATTGAAACAGATCGATGAATCAAATTCGAATCACTATCAAAATCTGTTCATCCGTTTCTAATAAGTTTAATTCATTCGCTTTTGTATGCAATTTTTAAACTTTGAGAAAATCTAGTGAGCGTATATTTGATTTATCGAAGATTCAAAAATGAAGATAGAACCCAATAGTAATGATCATTGTCATGCCATGATAAATGACCAATAGATAATATAACCATTTATAGTTGGCACATGTACAGTTTTGCCATTGTCAAAGCGCTTACTATTATCATAGTAAATGTAAGCTGAAAGAGATTTTTATTTTACTGAACGCAACTTTGCATTACATTAGAGCTGACTTCATAGGTGAAAGCACGTTGTTTGTTGTTTTCATTGAACCAAGATATACTACGGTGTACTGGAAATTTCGTAACACTCTGTAGAGATTAATAATTTCTTTGTTTTTTATGCCAGGCTGATGTTTTTCTACATTTTTGATTATAAATTATGTTTTCTTGGATATCCGTTGATGAAAATTTCAACTTAAAACACATAATCACATGTCGCGAGACGTAAGCTTTATCTTAAAGTTAACCTCATATATATTCATAAGTTGTTCAAGAAAGAATCTATGTAATAGCAAGTTGATTGTTTTCATATAAAAATGAGACTACCCTTGAAAAATAAATATTCCATTCAGACGGCAGCCTCTTCACTTTCACCAACCGAAAAGTCAAATATAGTGCATCCGTTTTACGAATGTTGATTTATACTCAAGGTTTTCAAATAATAATAATAACTTATTATTGTTTCCTGATATTTTGGAAGAAATCTGTGCTATAGATATCATCATCAATACAATCAGTAGTTGCTTTTTTAACCTTCTGTGTATTTTTAGAATGTTTTCAAAAGGAACCGAATTTCAAATATTACATTTATTTCTTCTTTAAGGACTGTCAATATTATATCGCAAACTCACTCGTTTCGTATCACCCCATCCTAACACACATGAAGATACCATTAATTAATTTTTTCTAAATAGAAAATGTGCATCAGTATATATTTATGTTACTTTAAATCGTTGTATTTTATATAAAATATTAAGCATGTCTATTCGTATGTTTTCACCAATTATGAGGTTTAAGAACCTGCCGGAAATAATTCGAACAAAACGTCACATCCCGTTTACGATGCTTTTCTAATGATTATGTGTTCTTCATAATCTACTTTGCGAATTACTTTTTGATTTGAGCTTTTTCTTCGTCTTTGTCTACTTTCACAGTCTCAACATGAAACAGTATAATTATAAAAAGAAAACGAGTTCCTACAAAAGAGGACCACACAATACGATAGGACAAAGCAACTTTTTCTATGTCATCACACATTTTGTCACTATCAAGAAATATACTTTTCCTGGTTTCTTTTGGTTGTAACGTTTCTTCTAACGATTTATTCGCCCGATTGTTTGGGAAAATTTTCAAGGACGAAATAGTGACACGTATATCAGACATCTTATTTTCTTTCTAGTCAATATGGCTGTTCGTTTCAGTGATGATATTAGTCGTTCGTCATTTCCAATGCATTTTGGTCACCAAACGAAATTTGTCGATGCCGCGTATACGCCATTGAAAATGATCAAATTATGTATTGAACAACAAGTGAATGCATCATTTCCACTCATACATCAAGTGGCAACAACAATGGTATTTAGGAATGATTATAATCGAGTATTAGAAGGAGCCCTAGAATTTACTCTACCTACAACAGCTACAATTTGCGGATTTGGTAAGTAACATTGATAGAATGATAAGGCAATTTGCGATATGAAAACATAATAAAAGACGTATCAATTGAATTCTCAATTTTCTTTTTCACAGGGCTTGATGTTGACGGTGTTATCGTTGATGGTGTTGTTGTTGAAAAAGATAAAGTTCGTATTACATTTGAAAAAGAAGTTCGAAAAGGTGTCGATCCTGGTTTAGTTGAAATGGTTCAAGGAAATGTATTTCGTACGAGAGTCTATCCAATACAACCTGGAGGCATACGTGTTGTACGTGTCATTTATCAAGATCTATCTCAAATCGAAAATGATTGCTTTCTATTTCATATTCCTATTTACTTCACTACTACTCTCAAAAATTTGGATATTTCACTGATTTGTACACGTACACCAAGCGATTGTTATCCACAATTTCTTTCAAATGGTAAGTTTAAACAACCATTTGTCAATTTACATGGAACATATTGTTCAACATTGCACGAAGTCGATGTTAAACCATCAACATGTGAACAGTCTATTACTTACATGATAAACTATCTCATGCGAGGACGGCCGATTCATAGCATAGAAATCGACCCCGACGATCGTACCAAAGCTTATTTCGCTCTATTCTACATACCACCATTAGCACCATCGAATAATGTCGTAGTCGATTGTCGGAAAACAATGTCGCTTTGCATACTTTGGGATGCTAGTTTAAGTCGAGCCAACATTGAATATCGTCAACATGAAATGAATATACTAAAGAGTATATTAAAAGTTTGGAAATCAAATTATATTGATGTGAGCATAACTGTAATTGTATTTCGAAACGTACTTGAACATCGAAGTACATTTCATTTGTATGATAACGATTGTTGGCCGAAACTGAGTCAGTTGTTAATTAGTTTATCATATGATGGCGCAACAAATTTATTTCAACTAGCAACAGTCTCAAGTAGTATTTCCAATATTACACACTATTTTTTATTTAGCGATTGCCTATCGACAATTGGTAGTGATGATCCAACACAATTAAATCATTTGACGGCCAGACCAATCTGGATATTTAATGCAAATACTCCACACGAACCGGCAAATTTCTCATTGATTAACTATTTAACCAATGTAAGTGGTGGTGGATATATTTCACGTGAAAAAATTTTAGCTCAAAATAGTGCAAATCATATCATTCGTTGGATTGATTACAAGTCACAACGAAGATATCTTAGAACAGATACTCTCAATAATGCAAATGTTCATGATATTTATCCGAGCCATTCAATTACGTTAGAACCAAACGCAGAACGATTTATACTCGTTGGGAAAATGTCATCAGCAGTTTCAGCTAAAATTGCCGTCAATTTTCTTATTTCAAATGAACTACATCGTAAAGAAGTGACGATAGATAGAGTTGATTCAACATATGACAACTACGGATTATTGCGTCGATTATATGCCAAACAAATGTTGAATGAATTAACTGCGTTCCCGAAAATAAATAAGAGGCATATTTTAGATATTGGTATGAAATATTCCATTGTAAGTGATTTTACATCGATAATCGTGCTAGAAACATTACAACAACACATTGAATATAATATATGTCCACATCCATCGCGAACAACATTATACAATCATTATATGAACTATCAGCATAATAAAAAACAAATAGAGTTGAAAAACAAGGAAACAAAATTGGCAACTCTTTTGAATTTATGGTACGCACGTTGCACATGGTATGATAAAGCGGTAGGCGACAAAGACCATGTAAATACTGCATTTCAAAGGAACACTCATTTTCCAAGGGATCCAGAATTTAATGTATCGAGACAATTATTAACAAAATCACGGGATAGACTAAACCAGATACATTATCACTCAACGAGCTACAATATGGAATGCGGCTCATCAAATTCCATGCAGCACGAAATGGCTTCTTTAACATACGGCATGCCAAGTATTCCTTTGAATGTGATTTGTGAAAACGATATTACTAGTCGGCCAAAACGTAGTGCCTCTTCTGATTGCATCCCCGACCGATCAAACGACTCAAACCGAAGTGGTCACGATCGTAGACTTGCTCCTGATAGTAATCAAACGGTTACTCTTCAGAAATGGGACCCACAAACGCCATATATGAAGAAAATTAAAGCAAGTAGAAACATAGAAACAGCTTATCAGACCTATCTAAATGAGCGTCAATCATATTTGAAATCGCCATCATTCTATTTTGATGTAGCATCCTATTTTTTCTCACAAGCTCGTTTTTTGATATCGAAACAATCATCCATTGATAGATTGAATCAAAATCATGCGCTGTCTATGTTTGGCATTCACTCATTTTCAAATGAAATTTGTAGTTCCGATGTAAACAACTATGAATCATTCGGTTTACGCATTTTAACAAATGTATTAGAGCTAGATTTAGAATCACCACAATTGTTACGAGCTGTTGCTTATAAACTTGTTGAACTTGGTCTTCTCGATGCGGCTGAGAATATTGTTCGACTCATCACAACTCTAAGACCGGACGAGCCACAATCATTTCGAGATCTAGCATTATTATTGCGAGAATCAAATGCTCCTGACAGGAACATGACAGAAATATCAGATCTATTCAAGAAAGTTATATGTGGCGAATGGGATCATTGTTATGCTGAAATCGAAGTTACAACATTACATGAATTCAATTGGTTTATATTTGAATTCAATCAACAAAAACAAATATCGAAATTATTTGATCATCGTCTCGTACGTCATTTACCTGTTGACTTGAGAATCGTTTTAGTCTGGGACACTAATGATACAGATGTTGATTTACATATCATTGAACCTACCGGTGAAGAATGTTATTATGGTAATAAAAATACAGCGATTGGTGGTATGTTAAGTCGTGATTTTACAACTGGTTATGGGCCAGAAGAATATCTAATTCGAAAAGCCGTCACCGGTACGTATATAGTTCGAACACAATGTTTTGCTAATCATGAACAAAATTTAACTGGTGCAACAACAATAATGGTACATATTTATAAGTATTATGGCCAATCAAATCAACAAAAAGAAATTGTCACACTACGATTGAATAGTAATCAGGAGATGAGAGATGTATGCGAAGTTGTTTTCAATGACGATAGGAAACTAAAGTCAGAAAATCAAATAAAAAATGATCAGAATTCGAATATGAAGATCCATCAACAGGTTATTTGTGATGGATGTGGTATGTTGCCGATAATTGGAGATCGTTATACATGTTTATTTTGTTCAAATATTGACTTTTGCCAATCATGTCATTCTGCTAGTAGAACAAATCATGATACAAATCATCACTACAATCATCCATTGCTATGCATCAAAGATTCGCGTACATATCCAAAGTCGCTTTACCTTCATAGCCGACGTAAAAAAATGCATCAAGATATTCAATGTGATTCATGTTTCATGAAACCGATTGTAGGCATTCGCTATAAATGTATTTGTGGAATAAGGTTATGTGAGAAATGTGAAGTTGCTGGTTTGCACACGAAAAATCATCATCGCGCCAAAATAGTTGAACCGGAATAATTTAATTGAACTCTTCAATGATTTCATATTCATTTGATGGACAACTCGACTAATTTTTCGTGCTTATAAATTCATTTTATTGCTTGCTTCTAGCATCTTAATTAAATTTGCTGTTTGATAAATATTAGTTGCTATTTATAGGGGTCGGAAGATATTTTTAAAAAATTGGCTATAACCTTTATGTTCAAAATCAAAATTGAAGTTGCTATAGGAAGATTCTCTGCTGTAATAACTTACTATGGTCGTTCGAAGAATATTCTAATGATATTTATTATTAAGTTTACCTATTTATTATAAAGTGGAATCATATAAAATTTATTGATTTTCTATATGTGACATAAAATGAAGAGCTTAGTTCTTTAATGATTAGCTAATCATCTAGGACCGAGTCGTTTTTGAATAGTAGAAAAAGTACTTAACTTAAAAAGCTACTTAGTTCTCCAAATATTCATTTATAACATTGGTTGTTTTCAGTTGCAGAAGAAACTTAAAGTAATATGAAGATCGTTCTGCATTCGTATGATTTCGTTACGCTATAAAAAACACAGTATGCTACATCGAAATGCCAACCAGATTGACTTATTTTATTATGAATTTGTATGTAAATAGACATGCTTTTGCTTCAACATTATGAAGTGTACCATGTTGTTCGTATTTTTTTTTTGATAAAATTTTGCTTTTATTTATACTTAATACTGGCAATAGCAATGGCTTTCTTATGACTTTTATTCATATGTGCGCTTCGAAAGTCCTAGGAAAATGCTTTTACATCATTTTGATATTCTGTTTTAATAAAAGTGGATCATTCACAATCGCATATATCGTTCATCATTAGGATTTAAAAAATAGATCGAATAAAATGAGGGCAAATTATCGTTACTTTCACTGACTATTTTCATACTGTGTTCTGAATCTAACTAGTATTAATTTTTCTGCGCTATCATCGCTACAGAAGAATCACTTTTAGTAGTAGAGAAAGAATATTGCACAGAGCATTAAGTTTATCCACAGCCATCCGGTATTCTGTACTGAACGTCTGCGAGACTAGTAAACTTTGAAAATTTATTCGATTTTTGTCATGAGAAATGAGAATGAAAACAAAAGATAGCATTTCTATTCTCGTCGTGAAGCTAGACTTACACTTCTTATCTCATTGAATGATTCTTATATTTTTCTTGTTTCGTTTAACTTTTCTTTTCGCACGCATTTGTTTTTGCTTTTTAATGACATTTCTAAACATAGACGATAAAGTACTGGTAAGCTCGTTGAATTTTTTCCTCACTAATCTTAACTACAAAAGTCAAATTACTGTAGACATTACAATAAAATTGTCTCAATGTTTCAAGACCAATTATTTGTCAATGAATTTAATTTGACGAAACAAGCTTATATCAATCAATATCATGCAATGCGTTTTCTTCGTAATTGGCAGCTAGAACCAAGTCAAGATAGTTACATCGCTATTTCTTCAAATAGAAACGAACAGATACTCAAGAGATATGCTGGCGCTAGGTAGATTATGCTTTTTTCACTCATCATGTTCTTTCATGACATGCCTTCAATATTTATCAGTTTTCAATGTACCTGGTGTCAAAATCAGTGGTATAGCCGTATTCATTCAAGTATTTTATTTGAATATAATTCAAGTTCACGAAAAATTAAATGGAGATTATTTGGTCAACAATGCTGTCGCTGTCAACAGGACTTTCATCTTCCCATTTATGGACAAGAAGCGATCAACGAAACTATTCGTTATCTTATTGAGAAATTGGGTCAAAAAATTCATCATATTGATTTACGTCCAAGAGATCCAGATCGACCAATTATTCTTCACAATGGCAATAGACACAGAGAAGATGATTTAACGTGCTTTTGTGAAGCGTGCGAACTTCGACGTCAATATTGTGAACATTGAAAGCATAATCAAAGACTATTGAATTTTCGGATAATTTGTGGTAATTTTATGTGATTCTCATTTTGAAAATTGTGCTTTTTGTGTGTCACATCTGAAATTAGTAGACAATTGTAATTTATAATTCTGATATTACTGTATTTGTGTTTGACTAATCAATATCGAATTGTCTACTGGATCGAATATTTACCTAGATTTAGTTCTTGCAAGGGGGAAACGGCGGACTTTTGGACTTGAAGTTACTTTGAACTACTTTAAGCTACTTCAAGTTACTTTCAGCTACCTGAAGTAGCTTACTTTCAAGCACTTTTCAACTTTAAATTTACCTGAAGTTACTTGAAGTTACTTCAGGCTACTTCTTCCTACTTTGGGCTACTTGGTGGTACTTTGAGCTACTTCAAGTAGTCTACTTTGACGTATTTTGCTGTACTTTTCTACTTCAAGTCCGCCGTTTCCCCCTTGAGTTCTTGGCTAAAACTGGTTCACTTCATGTAGTAGCAAAGCTTTTCTACATATTTGTTAGTGAAGCAAAATAATAAATCTTGCAAGAAACAACAATAATCGAACACAGCATTGCATAAAGATTTTCATTTTCAGTATTTTGTGAGCATTCAGCCATAGTGAGATAAGTTTAGGATAAACAAGTTTTCGGTCTAATTTCGTAAAAAAAGCTGATATATTTTTCGATCCGTTGGCATATTCACAATTTTCCAAAACTCCATCATTCTAAAATTCTTTATGCAGATGGCAATCTAGCTATCATGAAAATGAAATTCATACAGGCTGTGTGGGAGGTTTTAGTTGCGTGTGCGAGTCTTCTGCTTGTCTATATTCATAACCACATGAAATCGCTAAGTCATACTTAGAATCCAGTCGCTCAATGAAAATTAGACCCTCAGCTATTTTTTGGAAAAGTTTTCCCGTGTTCTTACACGCTTGGAATAAAGCTTTTTTTCCAAAAAAAACATTCTGCAAAGTGTATTTAGCGACGAAGATAATTTAAGGTTCTTAAAAATATTTGATGTCTATATAACTCTTTAATGGTTGCAAACAAATGGTGAAACCTTCGAATCGGAACTGTACACGTTACAAAAATAATAGCTTGTCAATATGAAAAATCATAATAATCGAGAAAAAAATGATCAGATCGAGTTGTCACTGTATCACAGAGTCTTGGACCTTTTTGAATTTAATATCTATTCAATCAGATCTTACTTTTTTTTATAGATTTTAATAAAACCGATCGACTGCGAGTCAGCTGACGCTTGTGATGAACTACTCGTTTCAAATTCATTGAATCGAAAACAATCATGAAACGAGGACTCGCCGTATAAAACCGATAAAAAAACGAAGCGTTTCTTTGAAATATTTGATTTGGGTTATTTTATTTACATATGTATATTTCCCTTAATGATAAAAATTAATTGTAAGAAGAAAAAAATATACACTTCTTTCGTTTCAAGTACATTGTCAATTTGATATCTATTTAAAGGCTGTTATATGGTACGTCATGTATTAATCACACGTCTACGACACACATGACTAGTTACCAACGGCAAGCGTGTTTTTATTCTTACGTTTTATACTAGCTCACTCATCACACGCCCTTGTGCATATCATTCATTTTATATATTCTTTTCTTCAGCAAGAAAGAATCAACGACATATTTGCAATTTTTTTATTATATTTTATGCCTCAATCGCTCAATTTCATAACCTGGTGAGTATTGCTAGCCATTGCAAAAGTGACTTCTTCACGTATGTATATATAGTATATTTAATTTTTCAATAGAACCGCTGTAAATCATTTAATTTTCCAGTAATAAAATCAGATTGCAAGATAACATATTTTTCTTCCTTCTAAATGCATTAGAAATAGACATGCGATTGTCGCTCTGAGCACAGCAATTCTTCTGCACTGAAATGGCTGTTATATTATTATTAACCGCTCGTAATGTATCAATATCGAGTCCTAGTGGATGATTCCAGCGATGTAAGTAGAAGTGCGAAGATCACTCATTCTTCTAAAAAGACTTCATGGAGTCTTCGCTCGTAATACAAAAGTAAAAATGTGTTTTCTCCTATAGAAATATACTCGATAAAAATTTAACATTTTGTTTCTATTTCGTATCGCTAGAGATCCATCTTAAACACGACTAGCTTATAATCATATCGAGTGAATAATCCATCAAAACAATTGTTTTTGAAAATTTAATCTTTCTTAGATATAATAGAAATTGATCTTCGAGTTCATTTTAAAGAATAATATTTGTTTTCTATTCTAGGTAAAACCTACCGAACTTCATATGCAGTGCATTTGGGTTGTGTTAGCAAATAATTTCAACCGGTTGTTTCTATGTTCATGTTTTTATTATAAAACAGTATTAGATTGGTGTCAGATTATGCTTGTAGTAGTTCTCCTTTTGAATTCTCTGATACGCATCATTGGTATTATGCATTATGCATTATAATTTACCGATAACAATTCAATTGCAACAGTATCCGAAAAGGTTTTTTTTATTAAATACTATAGAACAAATGCTTAGATTATTTTTAATTTAGATGGTTTATTCGATTTAATTGTTCAAGCCTTCTAATTTATCAGCATAATTTCGAAGGCATCCATCCCCACAGTTACCGGTTCCAGTCAAAAACTGAACTAATAACACATTTAAAAATATGATCATCAATTTTGAAAAACATTGAATCTTACCATTTTGCCTGCCGTAATCTATTATTTACTAAGATCTGAAAGGATAGTTCTCATGTATTTTAATTCTTGATAAGTCATTTTCGTTTTCAATGCTTGTTTCAACATACACACATTCTTTTCAGCTTGTATGGCGATAGCCTACCATCTGGTAATACATGTTGTGATCAATTTATTTATCTTTACCGGTCTATTAATTTAATGCGAAAAATTGTTTATGATCATTTGAGATTTTTTAAACATTAACCAGCAAAGATGATTAAGGAGAAACATAACAATAGAATCATTTTTACAGTTGTGTCTTCGCCGAATAGGCTATTGACTAATTCATTTTTAATTTTCACATTTTAATGAAAATAAAATAAAATGATTTTGCAGCTTAATAAGTCTTTATTAATAGTAGTTGTAACTTTCGAATATACAAGCAGAAAAAATGATTTTATCTATCAGCTATTTAGAAACGCATGCTCGAATCAAGTGTTTATAAATGATCGAGTTTCATCATAAGACAGCGCTCAATAATTATAATAATCACGAGTCTAATCGATGCTGTGGTCAATCTATGAATCAATAATTTAATGCCTGTCGGTTGACGAATTTAAAATTAATTTCATTGAGAAAATAGAATCTTGGTTTATGATCTCGCTATCGTATTTGCTATGTTCAGTGTTCAACTTATCATACGCTGGCTTCCATGATTAAATGTACAAAAAATAGATTGCAATGTATCATGATTTAGCATAGTAACTCTATGATGTTTAGAACTCATTACTGATCGATTTAGTTAAACCATCGGCCAAAACAAAATGTATTTCGTTGTTTAATTCATAATGAAACGTATCTTTAGTTCAATGAATATTTTCATCGATAGAGTGAACCCTCTGAACACTAATACTTTACTAAGTACAGTGACTGATCTCATTCAATAGTTCGGAGACTAATATTAGAATAAAATATTATTTATCGTTATCTTATCTTTCGACGAAAACTAATTCAATAGAATATGTGGCAGGCGAATTTGGAATAGTTTTTTTCTTAATTTTTTTAATAGAATTTTTGTTGAGATCTGACTTTAGAAATTTTTATATTGAGAATTATTCCTTGCATCTTTTTACAATGAGTTTTTAAATAATTCAACTCTGTCTATTTTTTTAACTATGGGGACATGACGACATTGAATTTATCTGAGAAATATTTCTTCTCTATCCTGTTTTTCTATAATCTATTATCACGAGCAGAAAAAATAGGAAAATATATTTTTTCGATTCATTATTTTTTTTTCGCGCATTCCAATCTCTACTGAAATTCTCATGTCAACTGTGACAAATATATATTAAAGACAGTGCGTTCATGCATAATTATGACTATAATTGGTACTCATTCATTGACAAATAGCTTCATAAGAGGTAAAAAATTCAATACTTTGAAAAATTTTTAATTCAGTATTTTAATCCAATATTTAATGATCTTTCCTCAGTAATTAACCGAGAAAAAACTATGACTTAAAACGAATAACAGGAGGTATGTAACAAAGTCAAAAGAAAATGAACGACATATTCAATTAAAATAAAAAGTATCTCGTTCTTAATAGATCGAAAATATATATTCAATAATAACGAACGTACAATCACATATTAATCTATTGAACTTCAATATATAGGTCATCTGTTTATACACGAATGTCTATGCACTTTAAAGACATGATGCAAGATAACGCAACAAGATTTTATCATATCATCTGAAACAACAACATTTCAAGATCGATATAGATGTTCATCAACTTTTTAACAACCAATAATGATTTGTCGACATTTATTTCAACGTATTATCGGATAGATTTTTTTTAAATCATACTCTTTTTGGTATTACTAACAAAATACTGGATGAGATTTTTGTAAGCCATTGGTTGATAGTAATTATTGATGAACAGTAAATACCATATCCTGTTACTACTGCATTGAAAGAATTGATGAAAGTAAAAAAGCAAAATTTTGAATCATACCAGCCGTGATAAAAACATCAAATCGTCCCACACAAAGAAAGTTTCGATTAACTGAAAGCACGTTTTACTTATTTAGAAAACATGTTTGATATAAATCTATTGCTTTTCTGGGCTTGTGTTAAAAATATGATTGATATTTGTATTTATTTAAAGTTAAAAAAAATAGATTTTTGTTGTGAAAAATGATTATGTGAAAAACTACGTCAGGGATGCTAAACAGGAAGTCTGTATAGGCGTTCTATCACATAATTTAATTGTGATTTTTCTCTTTTGTTAATTGTTATTCATCATTCAGATTATTATAAAGTCAATATTAACAGTTCATGATTATAAAAACATTTTTATCGAGGTACATGAAAGATGGTGAATGCATACATGCCGGCTAGGATGTCTTTTTTTTATAGAAATCATGCATAAAAATATAGTGAATATACTATCCAGTACATGGACAGTGAAGTGAGAGTGATAATGAAAGCAACACGAGTGGTTCATGATATTCTTTCGATTTTAACAGGAGTGCTACATCTGATGCCTAGTTACTTCTAAATCATCAGAGCACAACTAAAGTAATGCATCCGATTTTGTCTGCAATAAAATATCATATTGATTCACTAAAGATTATTTTCTTAAGCTAGTACTAAATAATTCAATATCTACGAAATATTGTAATTGCAACTGTAGAAAGAGGCTCTCATAAGAAGATATATTAAGTTGTGATAAGGACAAATTACTTGTTCATATCTCATATGGGTCATTTAACTAAGTTTGTTCAAGATATATCAGTCATGCGAATACTCTAACTTAAATAGCCATTTCGTAGATCCTTAAAAACGTAGTCTGTTTCATTTTTTATTTTATAATTGATATTTGAAGCCCACAAAACAATTGATTGAACTATGCTATCATAGAATATTATCGTAGACTGTGATCTATAAAGAGAACTTGCTGTTTTGAAACATCTATTTCAACAGATAATAATGCAGTTGTTTTATAGAGACAACACGATACTGACTCCAGTTAATAAATATAACACTAAAAACTGCGCTATATTTATTAGCTCATAGCAAATAAAACAAAATAAAATATATTAACTATCGTTTGTCTCCTAGGGCACAACACGAATCTCTCTCTACCATACTATATACAAAACATTTTTACAAAAATATTAGCAAACATTAATTTTTAGTCACATAGATAGATTTATTAGTAATAATTGGGTGTATGTTAGTCTATATTTCCTAGTATCATCAATAAAAATATACTTTTCTCTTTTCATTAGCCTGGGTATAAACTTTGCCCAGCCAAAAACTACATTCTTTTTTTTTTTATTGAATAAATATTTAGAAAAAGAAACCAATATAAGCTATTTTTCTTCCTTATCACTTTCATTTTGAAGCTTTTTACAATGCGAGCTGGAAGAATTCATCCTACTGATCCAAACCTTGGTGGTGCATCATCAAATTATATTGAAACCGATTCGTAAATTACTTCTTGAAAAATTTTCTTGATAAACTTTTTGCTTTTGTTATAGAGGATGTTCATTAAAATATTGCCTTGGAACACGAAATCGGCGTGTATGCTTTGTAATAAGCATATTAATGATTGTTCTAATTTGTGGCTTAGTTATTCCACTATCAGTCATTTTAAGTGTTTGCAAAAAGGAACATTTAACGCCACCTACAGGTAAGAAGCTCACTAGGACGCTTCGTCTTTTCTATTCAACAGTTCAGTGTGATTAACTTTAAAATAAAACTCCATACTCTTACTGCTATTATTACGCTTATCCATTATGATAAGTTTTACTGCTGAGAATTGATTCCACATTTTATAAAATATTTCTCTACGTATGTCTTGCTGAAAATAATAAAAATAAAATGACCAATCTTTCTCCGATGTACTATTTTCGTTAGTAAATAATCTAGATAATCTTATGGGAAAAAATAATAAACCTACACATTATCGTTTTTCTTTGCATAAAAGGGAAACCAATGACCACACCATCTGTACCACAACCACCACCATTATCAACAACAACAGAAACAACAACAACAACATCACCATCAACAGATTATAATTCTACAACAGATTATAATTCTACACCAGATTATAATACACCCACGAATAATTTTACGACTAACAGTCCTGATGTTACTATCAATGATACTATTGAAACTACTACAAACTAAATTGAATAGAGACCCTGAAGAAATGGCACCGAAATGATCAATTTTACGTAGATACTGATGCGACGAAACGTTAAGTTCTAACGAATACAGATTTAACTACGTAACAGATTACCATTAAGCATCGAATCTCATTGCCTTTTTTTTCTTTATTAACGCTTTGTTTCCTATTCACTTAGTATCTAATTATGTCTTGTATGAGTAAGGAAGATTTACGGTGAGTTGATTGAATGAAAATTCTTATCAAAATCAACAAGAAAGTAATATTAAAAATATGAAATCAAGTTTATCAATTTATAATTTTAGTGCTCACATATTTTAATTCTAATGAATATGCTCATAAAAAATAGTTTTATTCTTAAAATTTATTCTTAATTTTAAATTAGCTTGAAATATATCGATCCATTTCCCATTGGCCTTTTTCTATTGACCCGCCAGAGAATTTTAATATCCCCTCACCGTGACGCTTTCGTTTGCTAAATTTGCCTTGATATAAAGTACCGCTATTCCACATTAACGTTCCTTCTCCATTTGCTTCATCATTATTCCATTCGCCCTTGTAAATATCTCGTTCAGTAGTAAACGGCAAGATGGTCCCCGGACTTTTGCTCCCCAGTGACACTTGCTCCCCGGGCACTTGCTATCCGGACATTTGCTCCCTAACTGTATTTAACAAAAATGTTAATCAGCACGAGATCAAGATATAAATTTATTTATTTGTGGGTATGTGGATGTGAGTGTGAGTGTCAGTGTAGGTGTGGGTGAGTTAAGAGGATAACCATTTGTCCATACTTGCACTGACACACTCACACCGATACACCCATACCCTCAAATAAATAAATTTATATCTTAATCTATTGCTGATTAACACTTTTGTTAAATACAGTTAGGGAGCAAGTGTCCGGGGAGCAAGTCCCCAGGGAGCAAATGTCACTGGGGAGCAGATGCCTCTGGAGAGCAAATGTCCGGAGAGCAAGTGCCCAGGGAGCAAGTGTCACTGGAGGAGCAAAAGTTCGCGGAGCATCTTGCCGGAATTCCTCGTTCAGTACAATAATAAATACCAAATCCGTGTTTTTTATCCTCCTTGAAATTACCTTCATATCGACTGTTGTCTGACCAAATTCTTATACCTAATCCATGTGCCTTGCCATCAATTATATTGCCGATATATTTATTTCCATTTTTATCATCATAAAACGATACTGACCAATTTTTCATCTGTGAGCATACCCATTTGAAACGATTTTAAAATCTTGATTAGTTAGCCCATCATCCATCCATTCGCCTGTGTTTATCGTTTCATTCTTCTCGTAAAGAATACCGTGACCATGTCTATTGCCACGTTTGAATGTTTCTATAAAATGATTGCCGTCTGTGAAAGTTAGAATTCCTTCTCCATTTGCTTTATCTTCAGCGCTTTCACCTTTGAATTTTTCACCGTATGAACTATGATACGTCCCATCATCGTGTCTCTTTCCAACTCGATACCGAAACTCTTATATCGATCGCCATTCGAAAAAGTAATAACTGATTTAATTTCATTCTTCTTGGATTTATTTTGGTCTAAAAATGATCGGTAATAAATCATGTGCAGGATCTATTATTTGTTGTATTCACACATACTCGACACTACTTCGTCATTCATTTCATTTTCTGATGTCACAGATTTTATTATCCGATGATCAGACTCTGCAATGCAACACTTAGTATAGATATGATAGTACTTAAATTAGGTAAAGTATTCACCTAAGTTTTGAAGGTTACTGTATTGATTTTTGTCGAGTCCTTCTTTACTGTCATGGTCTATTTCTTCATCGTAAATAACTTGACTGATTTCTTCGAAAATTATTTTGGGCTCATTTTTTTTATTCTTCGATTTCTTGCTTTTCACACGTAAATGTGTACCTGGAAGTAACACTACTTCCTTGTCGGCTGTTTTAAACGCATAAAATTGAAGATCTTTGCTATGCGGTGGCTTGATTGAGCAAAGAACTGAATTTTCACTGAAGAAGTGCACCATAATATCAGCTGACAATGAACACGAGGTGATACAGCACAATACTAATTCTTGATTTTCTTCTAGTTTCGCCGCTACATCAATAAGTAAACCTCGCCAAATCGTTTGATTTACAGTGGGTAATTTGGTGAATGCTGCATAGAGCAATCGAAAGAAACCTCGCCAAGGTTTCAATGTCTCCTTATTTCGGCTTTGTAATGCTTTGTTCAAGACAGAATGCAAACTTTTTTTCTACCCAATCATCCGTGAGGAGGTATACAGCAGCTGATTCATCTTCTGTTAAGCCGTGTTCCGAAGGAAAATGACGATTATGCTTCGCTCGTTCCAAGTAATTTCCCAAGTTATTGATTTCATGTAAAAACAGGTTCCAGAGAGCTGCGTCTAGCGATGAGATTTTCCCTTTCTTTTCTCGACAACAACCAAAACGATGAAATTATCTTTTCTTAAGAAAAAAACACAACTCACATGTTTATTCCTTTTCGTTCCACCATGTGGAAAGGGTGTTGTCTCAATGAATGTGACTAGGTATTTTCATCAAATGCATGCAAAAATCAGTGAAAACGAAAATTTTCATTATAAAGTATGCATCTATTAAACGTCTCAGCTTCTATGAAAACTACAAGTCAAATATTTGGTAGACTGTTTAACCTGAATATAATATCTAGTTGTCAAAAATAAAAAAAAGAGCTCTATATCGAACGTTTTTCGTAGCAGCTTCATTTTATAGTGATATTAAAATGACTAATAGGAACGCTTAAATATTGACTATACTATATACGTATAAGAACACATGTTTTTCTATGATACATTCATTGTTCAGAAAGTTTATTTATGAACGTGTTTCTCGAATAAAAGTACTGTCATACCATATAAATAACAAATAAAGAATAGTTCACGATACAAATTATGAAAAGCATCAATATTAGATTACATTTAACTATTATGAGACTGAGATCAAATCAAAATCGTTATTAATACAATCTAGCTAATAAATTTATCTTTTTCCCACGTACCATTTTGAACTTTACCATTCGCGAAGATTAACTTGCCTACGCCATGTCGTTTTCCATTTTTGAATGATCCTTCATATACAGTTTTACTAGGCCATCGAAGGACTCCATAACCATTCATTTTATCATTAGCCCAATCTCCATTGTATTTACCACCATTTCCATAATTGTACCTACCACGGCCATGTTTTTTATCATCTATGAATTCTCCTTTATATTGATCACCATCTGCCCAAATGCGTACACCTTGCCCATGGGCCTTCCCATCAACTAAATCACCTTCATACGTGTCTCCATTCGCGGAGCTAAACTTCCCCTTTCCGTGAATTTTGCCGTATTCATGCGATCCTTCGTAATGATTTCCATTTGCCCAAGTGCTATTTCCATTTCCATTAGGTTTATCACAAGTCCAGTGACCCACATATGTGTATCCATCGGCACGAGATAGACTTCCATATCCCGTCATCTTACCATCCGTAAAATTACCGTCACAACGATCACCATTAGATCTAATACGAGATCCGGTTCCGTTTGCTCTCGTAGATGCATCGTAGCCTTTGTAAGCATATCCATTTTTAGGATAAAATGTACCATAACCAAGTTTCTCGCCATTCTTATATGTTACTTCATAAATATCGCCATTCGAGAATGTAGTGATCGAATACTCTTTATCTTTTTGGGAACGATCTATATCTAAAAATCAAAAAATCTCTTTGAAAAAAACTTTTCCGAGACTTTCGTCAAATTTAGACAATACTGTTAGTTATATCATAGTTTGTTTAGCACTGGTATCAAGATATATAACAAAGAGACAGAATAAATATTTGGCAGTGAGAGTAAACTGAATCAAACTAGTTTTTAGTGAGCCCGATGTTGTTAAAATACTCCATGGCATAAATTCAAAATTATGAATAGACATACCTGAAGGGCTTGCCGGTGGTTTGTTTCTTGCAGATATGGAATTATGAATAGATACCGGTCTTGTGTCATTTTTATCAGGTAGCTCTACCAAATGTATAACACGTTTACGGGTATATGCATCAAAGCTGATTCTTTTAACTAGTAAACGAGTGCCCGGAAGCAATAGGACTTCACAATCTGATCTAAATAAGGTATAATTACAAATATCCTTGCCGTTGAGCACTTTAATTGAACAAAGTACTGTGTTTTGATTAATATATCTATTGATTATATCTTTCGATAATGAACATGAGCTTACACAGCCCCAAATAATTTCTTCATTTTCTGTCAATCGATTAGCTATATCAATAGACATCCCACGCCACACTTCTCCATTTATAGTAGGCAATTTTTGCAAAGCAGTGTTAAGTAATTTGAGATAAAGAAACCAAGGTGCTAGCATTGAGCTATTTTCTGATCTTAGTGCTAGATTTAGTTGGCTATGTAAAGGTGATTCCGAATATTCATATGCATAGATGAATATTGCGGCCGATTCATCTTGAGTGAGACCAAAGGTCGAAGAGTGATTCCAAAGATGTTTTAAATAATTTACTCGATGATCGAGATGATTGATGTTTGATTTAACAGGTTCAAGAGCTGATAGTAACGGTAAAACACGATATTCCCTATAGTCATAATAATGAGGTGATAGGCCATTATCATGGTGACTTTGAATAAATCGACGCATTGCATACATCGTATATGCCACCAATGAACAGCGTACAGTTTATTCTTTGAATTGAGCTTTCTTTTTCAAAACGCTATGATTTACACGTGGTAGGCTCGTTTTATGACAAAATTACTTTTACGCGTGCGCAATGGTAAAGAAAGGAAGATAACATTGGGACTTTTTTTTACACGTCAAATAGCAATGAAAATGTGTTTCTCAAAGAACAGAAAGAAAATAAACACCACGCACGAGTTTACTTCCTTTCTTTTGTGTTTTCATATGAAAAAAGTAACGTTAAAACAAAAATCCGTCTGTTTTATTACTAACAGACCGCGAAAAACGAAATAAAAAAACAGTCCCATATGTGACAACCCACATGCATCCTTAACTATTGTGTGAAACATCGAAATTTGTTGGTGATTGCATATCATAAAGGATATTTTCGTAGATCGAATCCTTTTTATTGAGTTGATTATTCATTTAATTCGTATAGTTAAGTTATAAAATTACGACAATTAAATTGTCCAATGAAAATGGCCACTCATATCTTTCTAAATTTTTTTCGATATCTAATAAATTACTGTTATGAATGGATTTTGCAGTTAACACAAAAAAATAGAAAATGTTATGTTATAATATTTGATTGGAAAATCAATGTAAAAATCACTACACAACTTCATTGTATGAGTTTTTTCCGTATTCATCGCATGTGATTGTTTCGATGAATTTATCACAAAACTTTATGATTTGCAATTCGAGAGAGAAACCAATGTGGAAACTGTATAACCGTTTTAATGAGACGTGTCTCTTCTCTTTTGTCACTCCTTTATTTTGAATTTGTGGTGAAAATAAGTTCACAAGGCGAAAAGAATTTTGCAACTATTTTAAATAAAAGAAAAAAATTCACATTTAGCGTATTTTCGTAATAAAATTGTCGACGAATTCATCGAGTTAATTTTTCATGCCGAGGCATTAGGAGTTCAGGTAAACTTGAAAAATAATATTAGATAACTCTTTAGATTGTTTGCAAGTAACTATTGAATTAATCAAGAAGTCTACATACATAAATATGAACCCATATAAGTACGATTACAATTATTTAATATTTGGTCATGTACTAATTAATAATTGTTTATTGATGCCATCATTTTTCTTTGCGACCATAATTAGCTGGCTGTTGAAAAAGGTCTTTCATCAAGAACTAGAGTTATATCATCAGCTGAATCCTATACATAGTTTACATTTATTTATTTTCGCATCAATATGGTATTTCAATCGTATTAACAACAGTAACGTTTAAGTTTTCATTGTTGTTTTGATTATTTTCTTTTTCTGTTAATACCACAAGGTCATTGCCGAACAGCTTGAAAACGATTCGTTTCAATTCGTGTCGAAAAGCTTTCGACACAATCAAAAATATGAAAAATTTACTACAGTAAAAAGTAAAATAAATAAAATCAAATAAGTTGGCGACGAAATAAACAGTTTCATCTTGTAATGGTGTACGTAATTGATTTTTTGTTGCTGTTGTATAGACAGAATTTAAAGCTGGTGCTACGCTTACGGAAATATAAACGATAACTAGAACGAACAAACAACGAATTAATTGGAAATCTTTTTTTGTTATTGATCGAATCTGTTTTCGTTGATGACGACGAGTACAACGAATATAACGAACATTTTTAAAAGTTAATATAGATAGAATAATCATTAGAAGACAAAAAAGACAATTAAAAGTCATTAGAGAATAGTTTACAAAGTCAATATACGATCCTGATAGATCATAATCACAAATCCAATCGGAAGAACCGATTTGTTGAATATTAACTTTAATGAGTAAATGTATATGAAAAAATAACCAAAACAATGTACTTGAACTAATCGAAAAATAGGCCAAACGCTTTGAACTATACAAACGAGTTTCAACATTTTGAGACGAAATTAATAGACGATCAATAGATGCAAGGATAATAACGGTAGGCAATAGAGTAGAAGAAAATATTCCAACATAATGAAGAAGTTTACATAGTAAAGCATTCGAATTTTGAGCATTGATATCAAAGCCATTTATTAATGCCGTTCCAAGAATAATCGAATTAAGATAGATACAACTAAGAATAAGAAATATGATAAAATAGAATACACAGACATTTTTCTTCCATGGTTTTCGACTAAAAATTAAAATACTTAACAAGTTTCCAATGTTGCCCAAAATATAGATTGCCAAATTACCATATCGATAGAGATAAACACTAATATTGCTCAATATTTCAATATAATAATCATCGTTTGTGGACATTTCTATGCAATAGAAAAACAGAAGGTGAAAAACGCTATTAATTATTATTTCTGAAAAGGAAGTAATAGTGGCGTCTTTTTTCCTTTCTTTGACTATTTGAATTCAAGCTATGATTAAATCGCAACATTCATCCATATGTTTATAAAAATATGGTTTATGTCAAATGTACGAGCGAAATATTTCTGTACTTACAGTGCGAAAAATATGTTTATCTTCTTTTTATGCGATACAATCGAGAACTCGCATATCCCTAGAATGAATAACTAATAATTTGACCAAGATAGTTTAAATATTTATATTCTCATACTTAAGATTTCTTTGAATGAAAAGAAAGAAATTTATTTTGTAGCATTTAGCTTGTAGAGATCTGAGAAATAATCATATTATCGGGGAAACAAAAATCGATATGCCATCGTGCTTAGTCCTAACTAATCTGAGATAATAAACAGATATGCATATGAAGAAGTATTATCAAAATTGGTGGAATAATTCTATTCTCTTTTTCTATTTTCTCTAATGCAAAACTTGAAGATCATTAAAATTATCAAAATGGTATTAAGACTTCGAAAAACACATATGACAATAGGCTGTCAAAGTTACTGATTTCAGTTTCATTAAAGAAAGAAAGGCAATGCCACAGAATTAGTTCCTTCTTTTTTTGTTTTGTTGAGTACTCAAATAAATCTGTTTCAACAACGGAATGAAAGCACATCAACTATTTTATTAGTCTTATCAAATCAGTTCGCTGTTTTCTGAAGAATAAAATTTAAGTGAACATTTCCAATGTTTAAATATCATTAGACCTAATTGCATGGCCCCCATACCATATAATTGTGAACTAAGAGAAATTGTACACAAAACGATTCTTATTCATGATCAAGTGAGGAAAACTATGTTGATTTCATTGATTTATTAATTTTTTATCAGGACCGATGTGCTAGAGATATAAAGAAGATAAGGACTTGCGACTAGTAACTTTTTTTCATCGATTGATTAGAAAGTCATTAGAATATTTGAAAATTTTCACTGCTATATCGTTGTATGCGCTATGTTTAAAAAACAATCTCAGCCAACAAACATGTTTATTGATCTTTATGGAAATAATTTGCTCTGAGTAAAGAAATCTATTGTATTCAAAGAATTTTTCAGTCATATGTATTGGATCTGAAGCGCTTTTGTTATCATCTAATTTTACAGAGACATATCCCAAACTAAAAGCTAACTCAAAGGGTCTATGACAAACGAGAATGTTTAATCATTAGTAGGAAATATGTTAGTGATGTGTTTCCTTCATCAATGAAGATCAAAAGAACGCATAAAGAAAAAAATAAAAGATTATACGGCATGCATCCAGTCGCGAATAGCAAACGAACCATAACAGAAGTGCACCATATCTTCGAAAAACAACAATTTTCTACTGTTTAATCTTTCTATTTTTATTGTTGTTGTTTTGTAATTATGATTGTTTACTACATGAATGCTATCTTTCACCTTTATCGTCGTTAGTTTTCCACTCAAAATAACTTATTTCAAATATTGGAAGGATTGTCTTACTGGCACCCACGCCAAGTATTGTTTATTGACAATCTTGACATTAAGATTACAACAGAATCCCCAACAACAACAACAACAACAGCAACATACACATTTACCAATGCATCTCTTCAGAAAATTATGAAACTAATTTAAAGATGGATTCCCCGACGCATACTCTGTGTCCTGTCTTTATAAATAGCTCACAGCTAATCTTTATCCTGTAAATTATTTTTTCATTATGAAATGTACAGAGTGTTTGAGAGTTTCAAGTCGATTGTTATAATACTATAATTATTTCTAATAAATTTCATTTCAGTCAGAATATTTTGAAGTTAATCGTTTTTATCTACCTAAACCTGCCAAATAAAATCATTATTAACTAATGTAAATATAATCTACGGTGTAGAATACTGCATTACACTTTAAATTAGTATGCAGAATACAGCTAATAAGAATATCAAATTCGGGTATTTATTGTTCGATAAATCTTTTTATCGTCAAAAACTCCTTCACTACAAATAACCGAATTGAAATTTATGATTTTATTCAAAATTATGATTCAGTTAAAGTGTCATTACTTTTTAAATGTCGACTAGAATTAATAGTAAGAATATGTATTATAGTTCAAGTAGTATCTATGATTTAATTATGGCTAGGAAAGTCGCCATCTTTGATGTCCTCATTCATCAGTTGGTTGTTATCATTGTACTTAATTAGGAAAGAATGAATATGTCTATTTTTATGCAGACTTGGCCCGAGACGTTTTATGATAAGGAACTTAACGATTATGTTTATGTACAAATGATTTTCAAAATAAAGCGCTGACACAAAGCAGAAACAATTGTTGCGAATTTCGAATCATAAATTATCCATGTTAGATGATGCAGCAAGAGTTATCCGGGTCTAGAATCCATGGTCACCTTCATGTCTAATTTGTTTTTAAATTGAATAGAATTACCATACGCTTCTAATCATAAATAAAATAAAATATAATCATAATATTGTGGCTTTGTATAGACGCCTATATTCATGAGTATTATCTAGTTCAATAAAAATATTGCAATATTATTCTGTGCTATGCATAGAAATTTTTTAAGTTACCTGTTCATAAAAGAATTAAACATAAAGTGTAATGATATAATAATAGTTTAGCTATTTTCAGACTACGGGCAAGACATACCGAGTATATTAAGATTGGCTACAGAATAATTGAAAGTATCTTTTGTTAAAAAGCAGAATACATAAGAAAGTGTAACTTAGAAAGTTCTACACGCTAAACATTAAAGCTAATTTTATCTGAATACTTTTTGCTTTTACAAAGAAACAAAATTCTCTCACTCTCTCATGTTGATAGTCTCGAGCTCCGGAAATCGCGGAGTTTTACTAGAATTCATAGGGGAAATCCCAGGAGAAAAGCACTGGAAGGTAAAGGATGAAAGTTGGAAGCTGTATTCTAACTAGAACATTTGCGACTTTTCCCCCCTACTTTCCTGTTGCAACCTGACCGTACTTATTGACTTGAGCAAAGAAAAACTCTATGTCTGCATCATTAAGGAGTTCCTACTGGTATTTCATCAAATAAAGAATCATATCGATAACATCATACCTATGTTCATTTTATGACAGTAAGGGGAAAAGTCATGGTAGTATTTTATGCACTGACGAAAACATTTTTTCAGTAGAAGGTCTATTTAATAGTCACAGCGTACATGTTCAAGTTGCAAATCTCCAGGAACTAGGCAAACAGGTGAGTATAAACCAAAATACAAATTATTGTAAAAGAATTCTAGCATGCGTAGGCACTTCTAAAATAAGAGAAGGGGGTATTCCTGCTTGATGTAGAGAAAGAATGCTTTTTGCGTAGTGGCGAAAGCTGATGGCGCAAAGTTATTCTTTGTTCAGAAATAGCAAATTAAGATTTACACTAGAGAATGTACAGCTTTTCACGCTGTATCCTATGGTATACTGTTTTTTTTAAATATAATGTATTGAAGAATAAAAATTTTGAATGCAAAATTTTGTCATTTTGTTATGATCCACCTGTTATTAATTGCCATCGTCAAAGAATCCTCTATTTAACACGATTCTATGAAGAAAAAGAAATACAATTTATCAGTATAAATAAAAACTTAATAAATTCAGATAACTAACATAATTGCGGATACAATTATAATTTTTACCGCATCTTGTTGACTTCACTTGTGTGCACCATCTTGAAGACTTCAGTTCGTCTGCAGCTTGTGTCCAATTTTTTGTTTCTAACGCCTTTTGCATTCGCTTGAACGTATTTAGCACTCGACAGCTAGTAAAAGCCACATCAATTATTGCATTTCGTTTCATTGGGGGCAAATTAGGCACAAATGCATCAGCGCATCTTGAAGCTTTTGGATACGAAATGGTATAGAAGATATCTTCAGCTTGACTATTGGTCAGACAGTATTTTCGTCTTCTTGCTTGGCAATCACTTAAAACTTCCGAAAGTTTTAAATTATACTTCAGCATGACCTTTTCAGAGTCGTTCACCAGAAGATTATATCCAATTCCAATCATCGGTACTTTACCACTATCATTGAAACAACATAAGTATTTTCCATGATTGATAATGGTATTTTTTGAATCACACATGGTTAATATCAATCTTGCAAATGCAAGAAACAAGATTATTTTCAACATATCATTTTTTGGTCTCGTATATTGCATGATGAATAAGAAAATAATCGTCAGAAATTAGGATTAATTCAAGAAAACGAAAGCAAACACAACGGAAGTCTCCAACGAAAAACTAGGAAGTAGCTCTGTTTTTTTCAAATGCATCGATTAATACTTATTTGCATAATATACTTTCATAGATGCGAAAATTGCTCGCAACAAATATTGTCATTGAAAAATCATGTAAGTGAATTAATTGATTGTTAAAAATGTAAAGCAGTGTGTGATATTCAGCTTACAATATACATCATCATATTCACCCAGATTAAAATTCATATTCATATGAATGTGAATTTAAAGCTGTATGTATGATGAGTCCTGGGCTTCCACAATACGTAAGTCAAAAATGATTGCTTCCGTTCTCATCGTATTCTAATTATCATATTGGTAATTACAATATATGCAATTAGTACATCAAATTTCACATGTAAATTACCTACAAGCTTAGTTTATGTATCTAAATTTGGCTGAAACATAGTTTGCAATCAGATTCATTTTATCTACAAAAAAACAGAAATTGACGGATTTCGAATAATCTTCAAATAGTAGTGACATTTTTCAGTCAACAAAACATCTCTTAATAATCTACCGATTCTTTGCTGAATAAATATATGATTTTTTAAAAATCCTCCAAGTAATAAGAAGTACGACTAAATTCATCGACTTATGCATGGTCTAGAAAATAATATCCATATCAGTCTCTTTAAGAGTTTGTTAGATTAGAGTCCACTGGAGACGTAGGGTTTTCTCCAAATAATCTTTCATTAAAAGATTATTTGGAAAAAAATCTATGTGTTTGAACGGTACTGACTTCAATATTAATAAGCGAGCTTAGATTGTAAAAAATTTCACTCTCTTTTTACACTATATCAATGAATAAAAATTGATTTTATTGTTGTTATTTAAGACTAAAATAGATTTAGGCGGTCCTACTCTACGATTGAAAACAGCGTACGTAATAATATAAGTTAAGCATAACCAATGAACTAGTTTCTTTTTAATTGATTGAAACGTTTAGTAAAAAAGACGATGTATAAATGAAACTTTTTCTTTTTCTTTTTTTGCTAAAATAACATGGAAGTGGCGCTTTTTCCATTTATTTTCGAACTCGAATTAGACATCTACTCTGGTTTTGTGAAAGACACTGTTTCAAATCCGTTGAGAAATTTATCTTACGAGAAAACGAAGCACTTGCATATGAATTAATGATAAAATTGATTAGAGAATGGCTGTTGTTTGCTAAGAAAGCCTACACAATATTGAATATATATATATACGTATATATATATATTTTTTTTTATTTTTATTTTTATTTTTATATTATGCAATAACTGACGACTTCATGAGCCCTTACAGTACTATATTGAATATATATTGATATGCCTTTGCATGGTCGTGTTCTTTTATTAGACTTTATTTTATATGTAAGTTATTTTCTTTTACTCCGCTGTATTTACTTACGCATTTCTATTCACATGATTGCATAAATAGAGAAAGACAGAGACTTCAATTTTAGTCAAACTATAGTTTTATCCACAGTATACTTGCGGCACTACCCATAAAAATATGCAGAATGAGAAAAAAGGGACCCTATTTGGAATCAACGACTTTACCCAAACTTTCTTCAAGAAATCCATTTAAAAATCGTTTCGGTGTCTTTCTATTGTAAAATCATTTACATGAAACACAAATAAAATATTCATCTTCCTACAAATTTATTCGAGATTACTATTAATTGGAATATATATGGCTTCTATTCTATTCTTTTGTAGAATACATATACTCATTTATTTATATAGAATTCAAGCAAAGACGTATATTCATTATGTGTGCAAGTTCATCAAGTAGTATTTTGAATAACTTTTCATTACAATATCTTAACTTAACTATCTTTACAGCCTGTC